AAGCCCTAATCACGGTGAGTGAGCGCGCGAGCCAAGATACGTTCCTGCAGATACTCGGTAGTTTTTTTTTTTTGGCCTGCGGTTACGCTTGGCTTAGACAGCCACGGCGCGGTTTGGCCCGGCTCGAGCATTAACTCAACTAGCAGCTGTAAAATTACGGCAAATGTTTAACCAACCCCTTTAGAGGTTCCGAGGAAATTAGAAAGGTGATGGCGGCTGAGGAGGAGGCTCTGAAAGCCTCGGCCCTGAGGGCATAACGCATACGACGCGGTGTCCTCCGGATGGCAAGAGGCCTTTCCCACGATCCCGCGACTCCTCCTGACCTGCCTTAATTAAGCAGCCAGCCAAGCGTTGCCACAGATGCAATTGCTGGTTCTCTCCTGCATTTTTCCTGCTCGCTTAATTTCTAGTTTAGTTTTTTTTTTTGGTGGATGACTCTTACGCATTACAAATGAAGCAAATGAAAATTTGCATATCAATCCCCAAAACCAGCGCCTCATGCTGATAATTATCTGTGCACCACCAAGAGCCAAGAGCTTCCCCTCTTTCTCTCTCTTTCTCGTTTTCTCCACCTCTCTTTCTCTCTCCTTCTCCTAGAGCTCTTGTAATAGAATTGGAGTGCAGCCGCGAAAAGGTCACAGACACTGCACAATGCACACTGCAAGCGCAGTCAGCGAAAAAAGCAACACTAAGCTGCAAAATTCGGAAAGTAATGCAAACACTGTGCTGTTATTTTGATTAAAATTGTTTACTTATTTTAAGTTTTTTATTTATTATTTTATTAATTATTTGCTGTACTATCTCCAAGTATTAATTTTTCAGATTATTTTATTTTTAATTATTGTTTCCTTGTAATTTCTGATAGCCTAACTAATGTAATCGCAAAAATTAAGACTTATATATAATTATTATCCACTTAATAAATATATATTTATGTATTTTAAGTTAAACCCGCTTTTAATAATAATATTTTTAATGCATTTTCTTAACTTTCTGGCTTTCTGGCTTTTAAAATGTATGTATTACCGAAAAAACTATGTACTCTAAAATTATAGTTTACTATATTTTTCTAAAATAAATAATAAAATAATCAACATAATTTTTTAAGCAAATCCTAATTGATATACAATATTTACACTAATACCTCTTATATTTCTTCTTTATAATTTCAAAAATATAGATTTTCAAGTTTAAAAAAATTAATTATATTTTAAGAGTGAAAAATAACTAAAGATCTTCGTCTAGTGTAATTAAAGCTAGTACTCAGCGCGTGAGATCAGCCATGAATAAGCCAGAAGATGGCCACATCGCCACAGCCATAACCCATAACCATGGCTATAGCCGGGGCTCGGCCAGTGGTAGTGGTAGTTGTACCTGCAGCCGCCACCTGTGCGCACAAAATAATGCAAATTATCAGCTAGAAATTGCGCGAATGGTCAGGTGCATAATGAAGCAGCAGCAGCTGAAGACCAAAGACCGAGGAGGATGAGCAACCAGAAGCCCGGTGATGGTGCTCCGCTCATAATTGAGTTGCAAATGCTCGGCGGGGCTGGGGTCTCCGACTCTTTTCGGCCTTCGGTTCCCAGGCCGGCGGAAAACGTTTTAAACACTCCGTTTCGTAGATAATCATCATAATTATCCGGCAAACAATAAATATAATATCTAGGCAAATTACAACAATTAGGCAGCTCCCGGGCTCACGGCTCACAGTTGGAAAACACCCAAAACTCCGGACCCAAAAGCCCAAAAAAACAAAAAAGATAAAATAGAAAAAAGAAACCAAACCGAACCAAGCCAAGCCAGGGGAAAGCACATGATTGCCGGCTGCCTGTATTAATGTGTCCCTGTCCCGTCTCCCCAGGGCACATGGTCTTGGTACATTGTATGTAACACAATGGCTGGGTGGCCGCACAATAAACATAATTTTCACACGCGTTTCATTTTCGGCGAGAGCGCCCAACTCGCTCACAAATTAGGCAGAAAAACACTCAGGTCCGTAAAAAAAAAGCAGATATATACCTAAAACGCGACCATATATTTAAGCCACAGCGGGTAACGAGGAAGGGCTGGGAAATACAGTTTTCGAAAGCTAAAATAAAATGTATTCCGTAATTTCGATTAGAAAGCGCTTTGAATTTTGTTATGGGTTTAACTCTGTAGGGTCTGATTTCTAGAAAGGATTTATAATAATCACCCACTGTTTTCTTAATATAAATAAATTACACATAAATTAAAAATTGTTTTAAGAATTAGCACAGTTAGAAAACATTTTATTTTATAAATTAACAATATTAGATAGTATAAAAATCCTCTAAAAACATATTTGTAAAGTTTTACGCACGAATCGTTAATGTAAACCCGCAAAGGAGCATCCCTTTAAGCTAAATACATATTTTGCTAGATGATTTATTTGAATATTACATCAAATATGCATAATATAATGTTTCTTCTATTCTTAACATCGGATGGCAACAACTAAGCCCAATACCTTCTCAGAGCGGAAACTCATTGGCAATGCTTCGTTGCGTAAATTTCTCAAAGCGACTTTTTGGCCAACAGGTTGGCAAATAAAACAAAATAACAAAAAAAGACAACAAAAAATATACCAAAAAAAAACGAGTAGAAAGAAAACAAAAATCTGACGCCAAACCAAACCAAAACCGCCAGCAAAATGGCCGACAATAACAAAAGCCAACATCAGAAAAATAAAAAAAAGAACAAACGGAAAAAATTGGTTTTAATATTTCAGTTACGCTCCGGCAAGCGACAACATCGCGATATATGTATAGCTCCGACTTTGACTTCTTGAACAGTGCCTGTGCTCCACTATATAGCACATGTGAGTGCATACGTGGCGGGGGATGATGATGATGATGATGGTACAATGGACGAGGGTAAATCACTGAGGAGCCCCAGCCCCACACTCGCCGACGGGGATCTCGTGCCAACCCAAACCACAGATATGGAAGACTCTATCTGCCTATAGGGAACTGGGGAACGAACACCTGAGCATTTCTTTATGGATCTTGAGCAGAAAACCTATCGCGGCGTAACGTCATTAAAATTAGTGCCGAGCTCAGCTGAGCCGAACTTCGAAACTCCGTAAAGAGAGAGAGCTATAGCGCGGTAAGATTCAGATACAGGAACAGACACAGGGTACACTATGGAAAATTGATCAAGAGGACTTAAAACGGTGCAAGTTTAAGGAAAAGAGATATTGAAAATAACAGCATATAGACATTTTCTTAAGTAGATAAAGATTCTATTTGCCGAAATGCTAATTTATAAGAATTCAAAATATGCAAAAGTCTTTGGTCTATGTTCAACAATACTGGAATAAGAGCAAAAACTCATAAAACACCACAATATATAATATGTTGAACATGAAAGAATAGTTTTAAGAATAAATTGCTTAATATTTTTTTACCAATTAAAGGCCAGTTAATAACAAAAAGTAAAAAGAATAACCTAGGAAGTTCATATATTTGAGGGATATTCTAAACATATTTTAATTCGACTTTAAATAACAACTTTAAATGAAATAATTTTAATTTGAAAAGAAATGAATAACGATTTTAAGTATTTGTTCTTTCAAATTTATATTTAAAATTTAGAAATATTTTCATATATCGAAAACTAAGTAAGTTTTAAAAACAGATTTCACATTTCTGTTGCCGGAACGTGTTTTTTATTCAAGTTCAAATTAGTTTTAATAAATATTTCCATCGCAAGTACATTAAAAAACCCAATTAAACCTTATTTTTAATTTATAGTGTATAGATTCATGTGCATATGTACATTGGAGGTAATATGCCCCTTTAAATGGGGTTCTAGTCACGAACGCATATCGGCTATAGCTAGTCGGTTCTTTGACTGGTTACGCTTCGTTGTCAGATAGCAAGATGGCGATGAATATTTCGGATATATGCTCAGATTGGAGTGGGAGGCAGAGATATCCAAGCAGATCCAAGCAGGGGTGAAGCTCAACTAGAGCCTATGGCCCAACAACATCCGATGTGGAAAAGGGCAGACGTTGACTCCCAGGTAATTAGAGTCGACAACAAAGACCATAATTACCTTGTAACTAGGAATTATGAAAATATCATAAAAACAAAACAAAAAGTCTAGTGAAAAGAATGTAGTCTAGGGCCACCCAGCAGCTACAAAGATCAGGCCTCAGCCACCTGACGACAGTAGTCAATCTTTAATGACTTTTATTCTTTACTTACTTTATATATATATATAGCCCTCCTCGCATTAGAAGATATTTTCCCATGATTGTGTCTCCATTCAGCAGCACTCGCATCCTCTCTTTGGGTCAGGCCTAATCTCTGTCTTGATAATCTCGGCCCATCCAAGTCGATTTCTTGTCTGCCCATTCAGATCTCCAAGTGCGATGCCATAAAAACTAAGACACTTGTGTGTATTTCCCTTCTTTTTTTTATTAGGTTCATGTGCTTGGGAAGACTGCCAATTGCCTTCGGACAAAGAAAAGTATTGGAAAAACTATGATCAATGATTAAAGGCTTCCACTTTTAGCAAACTGATGTTTTTGTCAGATTTTAGAAGCACTTTCCTCCCAGGTCCCTAAACGGGCTTAACTCGACAACTATTTATTTATATTTATAATCTTTACAGAAATATTTACTTACTTTAAGCGGAAAGTAATACTGACCAGAGAAGTAGATTTCAAGTAATCTTAAAATAATCTAAAGAAACTTTAATATAATCGATTAGATAATAGAATCCAGATTCGAAGCAATTAATAAAACTCTTACTACGTTAATTACCATAGCATATGTGAGCTGATAAGGCGGCACTTAAGACCCGGGGAAAGCACCGACCTTATGTGAGAAACGAACAGAGAAAACTGTTCCCGCTCAATCACCCCATCCTTCCCAAGAGATTAAATCATATTATCACCACTCTTATCAAAATCAAGAGTCTTTCCGTTCATCAAAGAGAGAAACGCAATCAGTATACTTCGGACCTCGCTGATGGGTAGATCGCGAAAAAAAATGCTGAAAAGAATTTTGTTCGTTGTCAGTTTTGTGCTACTCAAGGGCTGCTTAGCAGAAACGACAGATGCATATTTGCTGAAAACCTTCAGGTGGAAAATTTAACTCTAAATAGAACAACATTTATAATAAGTAAAATAAATAACTACTAATTTAGGGAAATTTAGCGAAAGCGAAGATGATTTGCAGACTGAAATTAATACATTTCAAGGAAAATAGCAGACTCTTTATTAAGCTATATTCTAAGTAAACACTTATTCAACGTTTTATTTACTTATTTAAACAAATACAAGTCAGTTTTTTAACATACATAATTTCTTAAATATATCAGAAACTCACCTTATTTTACAGTCTTCCCTCGGACTTAAATTTTATGCCCACCCTGGGCAATGGCCACCTGGGCTATACGATCTACGGAGATGCCATCTTCATGAACGGAGTGTACAATGGACCCGGCGGAAATAGCAAACGTGCTCGCATTCCCAACTGGCTAAACATAAGCACCGAACTTTGTGATCGCTTCGGCTGTGCCTCTGCCGAAGATGTGGAAGTGAATGGAACTAGCTACGAAATGGATCTGAGGAATGGGTACTTCCGTTCCCTCACGGCCTACAAAAGTCTTGGGATCACAGTGGAGCAGAGAACCTATCCGCACAAGTACTACAATCGAGCTTTGGTCTACGAGGTGGTGGCCAGCAGACGTACCTCTAGTAGTTCGAGAGTTAATTGTAAGTTACATTAAATTGGCATAACTTTGAGTAATTTTTTTTACATATACTTAATTTTCTACTGATTTCTGCAAACTATTACTAAAACATTTTTTATAGCTCCCCAGTTCCTGAAACTCACCCAACATCCTGGTACCTCCAGCAATGCCTTTGAGTTTGTCGTCCTAAATAATGGCAGCTCAACATCCAGCGGAGATTTTCGCACTCTTCGAGGTCGCACAGAAGTCCTGGAATTTGAGAAATTCCAACCGGATCCTCAGGAGATATTTATCCTATTCAGTGAATCCTTAGAGCAGCCCCTGCAACTGGAATGGCCCGCTTGGCAGTCAGAGTTACGACATCGCATCATTATAACCATAGACAGACAGGAAAGTGTGGCTCGTAAGGAACTCGAAGATGTGCTCCAGCTGGACCCCAAAAGCTTTCTCCAGAAACACACCGATTCCTGGAACAGTTTTTGGGACAGGGAATTCTCCATCGAATTAAGAGGAGACGATGCACTGGAGCTATCGCAGATTGTCAATGCCGGAATCTTCTATTTGGTTAGTTCTCTGCCATCGCTTAACACCAACCAGCAGAATGAACCCTTCTACGGATTAAGTCCCACTGGACTGGGGCGGGGCAATTTGGAGGCCGATTATCAGGGCCACAACTTCTGGGACACCGAGATCTGGATGCTGCCAATAGTCACCCAATTCGGTTTTCAGTACGCCAAGGAAGTGCTTGACTATCGTTTCAGGAAACTGGAGGGTGCTAGATATAACGCCAATGCAACGGGCTTCAAGGGCGCCAGGTTTCCCTGGGAGAGTGCCTACACTGGGACAGAGGTCACTAATCCCTGCTGCCCGGAGGTGGCTCAACAGGAGATTCACATATCTCCCGACATATCCTTTGCCATGCAAAAGTTCTTTGCCCAATCGGAGGACTACGTCTGGACCTGTGAAACAGCCTGGCCAATAGCAGCAGAGGTGGCCGAGTTCCTGGTTAGCCGAGCCACCTGCGAGGAAAAGCAGAATTTATGTCATTTCTTGAACATAATGGGTCCGGATGAGGATCACCCGGATGTGAATGATAATGTATACACAAACGCTGTGGCCAAGATTGCCTTGGAGTTTGCCGAATGGGCCGGCCAAATGTGTGGCAACACTAGCACCAAACTCTTTGAGAAGTGGCGGCAATTAAGTGATCGGTTGGTAATCCTTAAAGATGACGAACTGAATTATCATCCACAGCACCTGGGTTACACTTTGAACACCATTGTCAAGCAAGCGGATACCATTCTGCTGGGATTCCCCCTTAGATTCGATACCAGGTGAGACTCAAATCCGTTTTTTAAACATTAAGTTAATCCAATTCTATCGTTAAGCTCAACCCACTTGAATGATCTGCACATATATGCGAATGTGACGAGAGAATCGGGACCGGCCATGACTTGGTCCATGTTCGCCGCTAATTATCTGGGCACCAGCGAGGATTGGCGGGCCCACGATTACTTTGAGCGCGGCTACAAGAGCTATGTTCGCCCCGAGTTCAAGGTGTGGAGCGAGACGCCGCTGGGCTATGAGGGTTCGGCGAATTTCCTCACCGGGATCGGGGGCTTCCTGCAGGCCCTGATCTTTGGCTACGGCGGCCTGGACTTTGGGCGCGATGGCAACAAGACGGTGATGTTCAGAAGTCAAGCATCAATGCCGCCAAATGTCAACGAAGTCCACGTTAACTATATTCGATATGGCGACAGTAAGTGCAGGTTTATTTTCAGTAACTTGTCTTCGGAAATGCAGTGCTCCATGCAGTCTGGTCCTGGCTTTGAGATGGTTCAGAACCAAAAGAGAACCATGCTTGGCAAATCCTTTAATTGTACGTTGAAAGTGAATATATTATACTTTTTGAAACTAACTCTTTCTTTTCCGCCTCCAGTGACCCACGTAAGAGGAGATTCCCCGCAGCATATCAGCATAGTAAGATAAATCCAAAGTGTATTTGAATAAATAGGTTTGAAGAGAATTACATATTTGGGTAGGAAGTTTCTATTGCATTTGGTTATGGTAATATTCTGGTTATTAAATTGTAGTCCATCCTGCCTTCCCTCTTCCGTTCTACTTGAATTTGGCTATCGAAGAGCCGCTGACTCCTGCGGCGTTTTTGTTGCTGCCACTGAGCACCACATAGGCGGTCTTGGTCTCCTTTTGCTTTTGCTGCAACATGGTCAGAGTGCCCAAAGGTGTATCCGTCGAGCTCATGGTTTTCATCAACTGCAAAAATAAAGTTTTTCGTTAAGTTTTCAGTCAGATTTGGTTACCTAATGGTAAACTAACCCCATCCTGCTCCATCTTCTTCAGACGCTTCTCAATCTTGTTCTTGCCCGGCCCCTTGCCATGGAACTTGTGTGACAAGTAGCGGAAAGCCTCTTTGAGGTTCAATATGCGACCATTGTCATCAATATAGTCCAGCTTGACATTGGGCTTGAAGGTCTCCTTGTCCTTGAAGTCCATAATGGGGCCATGTTGGAAGCGATCGCGACGTCCAATCTTGTCGTCCTCTCTGCAAATAAAAAAAAAACATAATATTACGTGGGGTTCTATTTTTGTAAAAGTAAACTCAACCCACCCGGCAGCTTTGTCCTCAATGGAGTAGTTCTTGGCCTGGAGATGGGCCATTTTGGTGTTGCTCGGCCTGTTCTTCTCCTCCTTTTCTAGGTATCCTTTAGACAAGGCCAGGCGTAGGGCATTAGCGACACCAGCGCCCACATCGGGCTCCTCATCCAGTATGGCACGATCCTCCAGGTCATCGCCCAGATTATCCAAGTCAGCTGGCTGCATGACCTCATCGGGATTAACCGAATTCCAGGTGCCATGACTATGACTGGGCTCGTCATTATGCGTATCCATGTGCTCCTCCGCATGCTCGGTCTTTTCATAGTCCATCATATCGTTGGAGTCCTCGTTACGATTGCCCGCCATACCATATGTGGGAATGTCGCCCAGGGTGCGGCAAAACTCCGCCGTAGCATTCAGCACGATGTTACCGTCCGCACCGGTGAGTACCACACCTGCTGAGCTGGTTTCCTCCACGGGCTCTGGCTTAATGTCTCTCTGAATGGACTCGATGTCGATGTCCAATGGCTTCTTAATAATATTCTCTTTCTGCTTAAGTTTGCGAGCCTTCGACAGGACGCGCTCCAAGTCGTCATCCTCACCCTCAATCTTTATGTCCGGCTTGATGTCCTCCATTTCCGCATCTTCGTGATCACGATAACGTCCATGACGGCTACCAAAGTTGGAGGAGTTTCCAGAAGTTCCCGCCTCCACCAAAGTCTCCAGATCTTCGGCTTTTAGTTTTTGACGTAGTTTCTTCACCTTTTTCTTGGGCTTCTTGAACCTAATAGGAAAACGATTCAATGAGAATCAAAGGCTTTTAAGATCTTAAGCTAAAACTTACTTGGCCAACTCCTCGGTGCTGTATGTATCCGACGCCAGCTGCAGATTGGTATCCTCCAAGGTTTCCAAACGTTTACCAGCCAGTTTCGTCTTAATCTCCAGCAACTTGCGCCTGTGTTCTCGCTCCTCCTCTACGTTCTCTCCAATCACAAAGTTCTTGCGCTTCTTCGGTTGACCCTCGATCTCGTCATCGTACTTCTCCAGCACCGACCGCTCGATGGGATTGCCCAACTCATCGTATTGCTCCTCATAGACATTGTAGCCGTAGCTGAGGGGATTCTGTTTTTTGTTTGCCACATTCTTCTTGTAGCGCTCTTCGTCCAGCATATTGACATTGACTAAGGTGTCGCCCTCCTCCTCGTTAAGCACGTCTTGGTCTTTAAGTGTCAGGATAACAGTGCGTCCCTCGCCAAAGTCATCCATGTCGTGTTCCACACGCAAACCCTTTAGGTTATTATCGCCATAGGCCCGCTGGCGAGCCTTGGATTTCTCCTGTTCCATCAACTCGGTGACACCAAAGGCCTCATCCAGTTCCTCCAGCTCTTTGGCTTTGCGCTTCGCCTCTTCGCGTTCGTTAACCACTCGCTTGTTTCTGTCTACCCATTTGGCCGCATTGTCTGTTTCCTCGTCTGACTCACCGAGTGTTCTAATGCGTGCCAGGCGCTCCTCCAAGAAGCGTTTCTCCTTGCGCTGCTTCAGCTTCTCTCGCAGCTTTTCCGCTTCCTTCTTCTCCTTGAGATTGTCGGCAGGCTTATGGAGGAATTCACCCCACTCGTCCTTGTAAGAGGAGAGATCGGCCTCCCCAGCTGGTCTCTTGCTTTCTGCATGACTACTGCTGCCAGCGGCAGGGGTCACCTTGCTTGGCCCACTCTCTACTTCCAGAGGCTTAAGTCCAAGCTTGGCGCGTAGTTTGTTGGTTTCCTCAACGGACAGAACATCGCCAGCTCCATTTTCGGGAATGGGCGAAAAGGAACGCGAGGCGTTGGGCTTTCGCGTCGCTGGGGGAGGCGTTTGTGATCTGGAGCGCTCACGGTTGCGATCGCGCTCCCTCTCCCTGCCAGCCCGATTGCGGCCCTCCCGTTCGCGCTCAATTTCCCGTTCCCTCCGCGATTCATATTCGGCGTGCTTGGAGATTTGGGGCGGTGGTGGAGCGGTAAGCTCTTTTTCGCGTTGACGGTCACGCTCCCTTTCGCTGCGTTCCTTCAGGCGCTCCCGGTCGCGTTCCCTTTCACGCTCCTTCTCTCGCTCCTTAAGGCGTTCCCTTTCGCGCTCCTCCCGCTCCTTGATGCGCTCCCTTTCGCGCTCACGTTCACGGTCTCGCTCACGATCTTTTTCGCGTTCTCGTTCCCGCTCTCTTAGCTGATCACGTTCACGCTCCTTCTCCCGCTCCCGCTCACGCTCCTTTTCTCGTAGCTGATCACGTTCACGTCCAGAATCACGCTCCCTGTCGCGGTGGGAGGACTCCCTCGCCTTGTTGGCCTGCTCCTGCACCGGAACCTCCACACAGTCCGAGCCTGCAAAGAAGAGGATAGGATTAGAGCTGTCTAATAATATCCAACAGTACATCGGTTCTTATAGAGTATAATAAATGCGCTGCTTCTGCTCGCCTGCCACTCACAATCTGCTCCAGCAGCGGGACACCTGCAAAAGATGGAAGAGAAATGGGGAACGCAACGATCGGTTTAGTACGTTCAGAAGTGGAAAAGTGCAGCGCCAAGACGATGGCCGGGCTTTGGCGGACCGGATAATCAGATATAATCGCTTTTCTGCCGCATCCGCCGCCAGCGGCAATCGCCCTTGAGCCTGGCCTGCACCATGCTACCAATAAGGTACAAAAACTTACTATCTGAGTCGGACTCCTCGAGGGAGATGACCTCGCTGGGTCGCTCGCGCTCCTTGTGCTTGTGATGCCTGTGACGGTGCTCCTTATCCTTGGACTCCTTGTGCTTCTTGTGTTTGTGGTGTCTGTGACGCGCCGCGGAGGAGTCGTCGGTGAGATCCAGGGTAACATCCTCCTCCTCAGTGGCGCGCTGCTGGTGCTCTGGCGAACGCGAACGATGTCTATTCTTTTTGTCCTTCTTGTGCTTTTTTCCAGACGACGAGGAACCCATTTTCACTTAGTTTTCCAACAAATCGAGAATTTCACAAATAGCAGACGCCGGTGTGACCACAAGTGGGAAATGAAAATATACTAACAAGCCACAAAGAACGCTAGCTCAGAAAATACCGCACTCTTATCAGGAATTCATAGGCATGGGCGTAGAAAGGGGGATTTTTATTACTTTTCTTTTATTGATTTGCCTTTTAAAATAATGAAAAACAAAGCAGAATTTACTTTAAATATATCTGCACATTTAACAGGTACATGTTTTTGGGATTTTTAAACTACAGGAGTATTAAACAAAAATTTCAAAATTAATGTGACCACATAAAATACCATTCAACCAAAATACTTTCCACCGTTTTTCTTCTTCTTCGCACGTGTAACCACAATAACAAAACAGCACGCGGAAATATTACAGTAAACAATGGAAATTAGTAAAGTATGATATAAACATATCTTCTCTAGCCGAAATTGTAACAATCTTATGACCCACAGAAGTCGAAGAAATCGAAGAGCGCTAAAAAGTCGAAGGCTCCCAAGGATTCGGCCATGTCCCTCAAGTTAATGGCTCTCCAGCGCAAGCAAAAGGAGGTGGCTCGTGTGCTCACACTTAAACAGGAGATTTTGTTAAAGTCTGGAGTATCCTACCTGGAGTACCAGGAAATTCGGGCAGAGATCGAACGCCTGAATTTCTTGAAGGAGACATTTTCGCGGCGGGCGGACAAGTTGAAACAACAAGACAAATAGCACCTTAAGGCTAAATATTTTTAGAAGATAATGAAATTCGTGGTTTTAAGTTCAACGTTTTAAAAGTTAAATCTATATGCTTGTATATTTCTAACATTAATTTCGAGGACACTGATAAATGTATACAGTTAAAGCAGAAACAAATTGTTTCTTTTAATTATTTTGGTAATTAGTTTTTGGTCTTTATTGGTATTTTCTTTGTATTCATACAAAATTAATTTTATTTCATTTAGTAACAAATACTAAAGTTATTAGGTTTCTTAAGCGAAGTCCTCGGCCTCTACTTGCCTTCCTATTCCCGCAAGCTCTTGAACGCTTTCCACATACGATTGAACTCCGCCTGGAACGCGCCCGCCAGCACCTTGTCGTCCGTGATAATACAGTTCTCCCAGTTGCCACCAAATCCCATTCGCGTCCAGTTAACAGATCCGCTGATTAAGACGCTTCTGGTGTTCTGCATCCACTTGCGCTGCTTGAGGCGCTGGATCTCCTGCACCCGCTCCACGCCGTCGATCACGAGAAACTTGTGGTGCATCAGGAACGTGGTGGTAGGCCCGCGCACCGGCACACCTAAGTCAGCACAAAGATTGATCTGCGAGCCGGAAGAGAAGACCATCTCCCTGTCGCTGATGATCCGGATGGACACGCCGCGGTGCAATGCCCGCTTGAGTGCCTCGCAAAGAGCCATCGAAGTGAACGTGTAGATGGCAATGTCGACGGCGTACACTGCCTGATCGATCTGCTTCACCATTTTGCCAATACCTTTGATGGTACAGTACGGGTTGGCGCACTGGCTGTCGGGTTCCATCGATCCCTCCGAATCCGACCTGATATTATTGTAGTGAAGGGAGTAACAGTTCTCTACCAATTCGTTGAAAAACACAACTTCGTGGACCCGCGGCGGCCTTAGCTTCCCGATCAGGCGCAAGGGATACTTGATCGCCCCCCAGATCACTTCGGATGCTAGGATGGTGCCAGCACCCAATGCGATGGCCCAATACGGATGACTTTGTATGAGATCTGTGATCAACATGCTTCTCCAATTTAAGCTTTTCCAGCGCTACCCTTTGAAAACGTATTGGCAAACAGTGTGGCCAGGCGAAACTCGGCTTAGCGGTTAGCCGAATCGGGCAGAGACACGATCTGGTACTTTTGGTCTGGTAGCACGAGCGATGCCGCTTCTGGTCATACTCTGCAAGCGCAGTGCTGCCAGACCACCGGCAGATGCCTTTTCGAATAAAACAATAAAATTCCGGCATTTTAACCCATCCAAAAAATCACGATGAAGGATCCGTCCACTACGATTTTATCCTCAGATTCCGAAGATCTGCGGGAAGCGCGCGATACCGAACTGAGAAGAGTGCTCAAGCTGAAACTAGTGCTGGCTGAGCTGCGCCGCCTGAATCTGGGTCGAGATCAGAGTCTGCAAACAAAAAATGTCCTCAAATTGGTGTCCATCGGGGACTACATGCGTCTGGGCGAGAACGATGGCGGTCAGGAACACGTTCTAGGTAACTGCTTGCTACTAACCCTTTTAAGAGAATTAACTCAAATCCCCTTGTTTCCGCCAGGTCTGCAGGATGCCAGCAGTTTTCCACCTCTGAGCTACGTTGATCGGAAAACTGTACGCGACAAGCTATTTACCCGTCTGAGAGGCACTCTGCAAGCCGTTGCTGAGTTAGGAGACAAGATGCGCGAAGAGTTTCCAGATGATTTCGCCCGGGAGACAGAGCTGAGTGCCGACCAGAAGGAGATATTGCAATTGGAGGAGGAGCATCGCAGGGGCCTGGAGCAGCTGGTAGAACTGGTGTGGCGCAAGTGTTCAATGCTCAGGGACGCCGCCGAACTTAAGCTGGGTCCCCAACTGGCAAACGAGCTCAAACTGAAGCAGGCGGAGATGCAGCTCGTCCAGGCCAAGGCGGAACTGCTGCGTTGTGTCATCGCCAACGAAGCCGTCTCCCGCACCGAGCACAGTTTCAAGGCGCACAAGGAGGTAGAGGCTTACTTGGATGAGCTGTTGGCCGCCAAGAATGCGCCCACTAAAAAGTAGATTAAGCGAAATGTCCCCAAATAGGTTTAAATATATTACAATTGTAAGATGTTGACACCCTGGTTACTTTCACTTTGTTAGTATTTTTCCCGTGGTGGTATTTTCGTGTAGTCAATCTGCGGTACCACCGGCGGCAAACTCCTGATTGTAAACAAAAGAAGCTGCGAAATTATTTGTAGTTAAACCAACCATGAGGGAGACCAATCCCAGTGAGACGGATTCCCCAAGGGAAGAGCAAAACGCAGAAGACGATTCAACGAATCAATCCCCGCCGGAAACAGTTTTAACTCCCGCAACGACCAGTGCCGGCAACATTTTTGGACCTGAGGAGGATGAGAACGAAGCCGATTCCGTGGATCGGGACGATTCCGCCAGCCTGTTCAGCACCACCACAACAACCACCAGGAGCAAATCGCCCAACACGCGAAAGCTAAACCGCCTGTGCCGACGGGCCAAGGCTCCGAAAATGGTGCCACCGCTTTACAAGTACAGGTGAGAGAGACAGTTCGGATTTTAGTAACCAATCTAATCCTCGAATGCCTTGCAGCTGTCATGTGCGTGAGGACCACAACCACCAGATCTTTGGGGTGCAGTTTAATCCGTTTCTGGACAGGAATCAGCCGCAGGTGTTCGCCACCGTGGGCAAGGATCGGGTTTCAATATACGAATGCGAAAGGAGCAGCGAGGATGAGTCTGGTGAAGGCATCCGGCTGCTCCAGGTCTACGCGGATCCAGACGTAGGTATACGTAGTATTAAAGTGCTGTACTCCAATTAAAATTTTTTTTTCAGACCGATGAAAGCTTCTACACGTGCGCCTGGTCATACGACGTCGAGACCGGAGATCCTGTACTGGCCGCAGCTGGCTACCGTGGCGTTATCCGTATCTTCAATCCCGTAAAGCATCAGTGCAGCAAGAACTACATTGGCCATGGGCACGCCATCAACGAGCTGAAGTTTCATCCGGTTAGACCGCAGCTACTGTTGTCCGGCAGCAAAGATCACTCGCTGCGGCTGTGGAACATTCAGTCGGACGTGTGCGTAGCCGTTTTTGGTGGCGTCGAGGGCCATCGCGATGAGGTGCTATCCATCGACTTTGATTTGCGGGGCGATCGCATAATGTCCAGCGGAATGGATCACTCGCTGAAGCTGTGGCGGCTGGACAAGCCGGACATAAGGGAGGCCATTGAGCTGAGCTCTGGCTTTAGTCCCAACAAGAACACGGCACCGTTTCCGACCATCAAGGAACATTTTCCGGACTTTTCTACGCGCGACATACACCGAAATTACGTGGATTGTGTTCAGTGGTTCGGTGACTTTGTCTTTTCCAAGTCCTGCGAGAATTCGATTGTCTGCTGGAAGCCGGGCAAACTCTCGGCCCCTTGGCGGGAGATTCAGCCGCAGGAGTCGGCCACCACGGTGCTGCATCACTTCGACTACAAGATGTGTGAGATTTGGTTTGTGCGCTTCGCCTTCAACGCCTGGCAGAAGATACTGGCCCTGGGCAATCAACAAGGCACCACATTCGTGTGGGAACTGGACTGCAACGACCCGAATCTGACCAAGTGCAGTCAGCTGGTGCATCCCAAGAGCAACTCGACCATCCGGCAGACTTCCTTCTCCAAGGACGGCTCGATTTTGGTATGCGTCTGCGATGACAGCACCGTGTGGCGATGGAATCGCGTTAATTAGTTGACTTGGAAGCCCGGAAGATTTGTCGTAATTTATTTTATTTTATTACCATCTCATGGTATTTACGGGAGACCTCCCAATTCCAAAGGAATATTTCTATTTAATATTTATTTATTTATTTACTTCTCAATATTGTAACCCCTTTTTTTAGGTTTGTAAAACTGTTTTTTTTTTTTTAATTTACAACATAGTTGACGAATTCCTTATTCTTTTTGTATCTATTCTGTAGTCATATTCTAAAATTTTAATAATAAAGATTTTAAAATTAAAAATTCAAATTTGAATCAGTTCAGTCTTAAAAATACTCGACCGCTCTTAGTATTTTCTGGCTGTAAACGGCCACACTGAACAGCTGCTGCTAAAATTTGTTTTCATTTCCCTGCCCAACTTTTTCAATTCTCCAATTTATAACTTAATTATTAACAAATGTTGACCGACAGAGTGCTGTCCACCAAGGAGGCCCTGGTGGTGGCTCTTGGCGACAACTGGGAGCGCTACCGGGCCAACATGAAGAACTGGTTTCGCAACCGCTGGACCAAGGAGGAGTTCGACGCCGAGTCTCGGAAAATCCTTTCGCCGGATAAACTGCACCTGCACAATCAGTTTCTGTTGGCGCTGCTCAACAAGATCGATGCCTTCGCCCCCATGGAGCATACGCCGTCGACGCTGCAAACTAGCAGCAGCAGCAGCAGCGGAAATCGCAGCAAGCGACGCAAGAGGAGCTCGCGCACCTTCACCGAACGCCTCAATTTTGAGCTTTGCGAGATGCTGGACTTTGTGGCCGAGGACAACATGCAGGTGATCCGCCCGCCGCCAACAATCAGCGGCGGTGACCAGGCCGCGCAGCAGCAACTGCCATCGCAGAGGTACTGTGCTCAGGAACTCTTCCTGCCCGACGCCGGCTTCATTATGGGTCGCTTCCTGATTGGTGCCTGGGAAATTGGACTGGTTTCCGTCGACGATAGCGTGGCGGAGTATGTGGCCATGGCCGTGCAGGTGCTGCTCAAGGATTTACTTGCAGCTATAATTAAGAAGCGCAAGCATTACAAGACCAGCGGTGAAGGCAACTATTACTACGACGTGGGTGCTCCGCTGCGAGATCCGTCCCTGCGCAACACAGTCACTCGACAAAAGGTGGATGACACACCGCTGGAGCTGGACAAGGAATTGAATAACTTTATGCGGCGACAGAACGACGATATGGTCTTTCTCTCCGCCTGCGAGGAAGTGTAAGTTTTATATTCTAAACTTTATGCAGTTCTCATGTTAATTACTTTTTATATTCATTTATTTTGCAGTCTTCCCAGCGAACCCACAGTGATCACCCTTAAGGACTGCCAGCAAGCCTTTCAGGATCGCAACCTGATTGGTTCCCATGCGGTCTACTCCATCAACATGGAACGTCTCAACATGATGATGCACTAGTTTAGTTAGACTTATTATGAAGGAGAAAAATACAAGTAAGAATTAAGCAAAACCTATTTACGTAAAAGCATTCGTGTAATTGGGAGCTCATTCAACAAAAAATCATTAAAAAATATATACATTCTCTAAATAAACTTACTTAAAACAGCAGTTTTGGCTTAACAGAGTTCTCGTGGCGGTGGCTTAAAGGGCAAATGGCCTGGCAAGAATTGATCTGACTTAAAAGCTTCTATTTCATCGGCAGTCAGTTCTTCCATTTTACTGTAAGCCAAGGATGGAGTTGCATTGGCCGCCTGTTGATGTTGATGTTGCTCCTGTTGCTGCAGCATTTGTTGCTGCTGCATCATCAGTTGCTGCTGCTGTTGCTGCATTTGCAATTGTTGCTGCTGGAGCTGCTGTTGTTGGTTTGGGAATCCAGCTGCCTGGCTAAATAATCCAGAGGGTGGCTGTTGTGGCTGCTGCTGCTGCTGAGCTGCCTGGCCAAATAATCCTCCTGGATTGGGATTAGCTGCTTGAGCAAAGAGTCCCCCGGCAGCCGGATAGCTACCAAAAGGATTGGGATTCACCGGCTGGACCTGAGCCTGAGCTGCTGCCTGTGCAAAGATGTTACCTCCTTGAAATGCTTGAGTCGCAGCCTGGGGCGGCTGTTGCTGCTGTGGCTGTCCAAAAACATTTGGTGCTGGTGCCGCAGCCGCTGGACCCCCAAAAATGCTGGTGCCAGTGTTGCCAGTCGCCATAGAGCCGCCGAAAATGCTACTAGCGTTGTTCACTTGGCCAGTGGCGGCTCCAAAAATGTTTCCCGTGGTCAATGTGGGCTTGCCGAATAAGGATGCCGAAGCATTGGGAGCAGCACCGGCTGTAGCGAATAGATTATTGGACTGCTGCGGAGCAGACGTGACACTGGCACCCTCCGCCGACTCGTAGATCTTAATCATCGTGTCCAAAATCTGGGGAGACAACTGTAGCATGGCCTTCATTTTGTTGGTGGCCTCCTGGACCTCCCGGTTGAACTGCTGGTGGAACTGCTCGAAGGTGTTCTGCCGCTTGGCCTCGTAGCACATAAAGCGTACTTCGTCGAATGACTGATCTTCAATGAAGTTGGGGAAGTTGGCCTTATCCTTGAACGGGCCGTAGGCGGAAAAGGGCCACATTTTGCCATTGATGGCGGACTCCATGTCGGCCTTAAGATATACCCTAGGATACATATATTCGTAAATTGTTGTCTGTTTTGTTTACTTTTTGTATGTTCACTCACTTGACATCGAAGTGCTCGTTGTTGCATTTGGTGCCGTACCGGCAGGAGCCCTGCTGGAAGAACCTGCATAGCACCATTTTGGACGTGGGTCTATCAAGTTATACTGAAATTAAAACAATTATTAGCTGTTTTTGTTTAAAGCCGGCCAGAGAGACGAAATAGTTTTGCAAAATTTGAGAGCAACAATTCGCAAAGTGTGACCATGTTCACTGTGCGGTAATCGATATTCATCGTAGATGAATGGGTGTAGATCAGCTGATTTTTTATATTTATATTTTCTTGTATAATTAATTATTAATAATTTTTCATTAATCATCTTAGAAGTTTAGTTGTAAAGTAAAGTGATTTAACCAACAATTTCAACAACTTTATAAAAATTTTGTGAACAAAGAGGTTTTCAAACCGAGTTTTCAGAAAATGTTATCGATGCATATGCATAAAAAAAACATTAAAATTAAGTAACAAAAAGATGATTCTTCCTCAAATTTATGAAATTAACTGATTTTTTTAATTTAGGGGAAAACAGGATTTTTTAGGGGGAAATTTCAACTTTTTGGGATTTTTTTAGGGGGAGAGCCAAATTTTCATCTGGTAACACTGGCTCTAGATTAACGTTCAAAACGCTAACATTTCTCGACTGCGCTGCTCGTGTCCGTTCCGTTAAATATAATTCCAAAAAACTGATCGCCGGCTTTAAAATATCAGGATGTGACAGCTTTACTTGTAACAAGAATACCAGCGGAAAAATATGGAATTTTTTACACGGCTTCGCCGCCTTTGAGCTCTTGGCGTCTGCGCTTTTCGACGCACGTTAATTAATTCCTTGTTTATTGCGAATTTTGTTGGCGTTATTTTGCGCAGAATCTGTGATCTGTGGCATTCGCAGCAGTGCAAGTGCTTTTAGCCCAATGCAATTGACACCGGGAAAATCCGCCTTTTCCGAGGCTTTTGCGGTGCCAAAATAATTCGCAAAACCAGCAACGGGCAAACGGCAACGCAACGCGTCTTTTTGGCTCTCCAAAAAGGGCAGGAAAACTCGGGCCAATAAAAGATACATACAAGAAAAATAAGCGAGTGCGCGAAAGCCGTGCGTGAGCTCTGCGAGTACTGTGGTGTGTGTGAGTGTGATCGCGCGCGGGAGGGGGGAGTAGTTGTTAAACAAACAAATAAAACTAGTGTGAAGAATAATTTGCGCTGTTTAAACAATTAGCCGCAACACAAGCGCGCGAGTGTGTGTGCGTGTGTGTATCCCTGGAATGCGCATGCGCAAATATTTGTGATTTGTTTTGAAAGAGGAGAAGGATCGAGCGAGACGAGCCGAGAAGGAGGTTCGGATTGGAATAAAAAACACACATACACATCTCCTGGCATTCGCAAAAGGTGAGTTTTGCTTTTGGATTTGCCAATTGCAAGTTTCCATTTTCCCTGCCCACGTTTTCCCCCACCTTCATTTGAGACTCTTAAATAAAGTCATGCAAAATTGTATTATTTTATTATTTTAAGAAGCAACCACTTCAATAACCTTATCTTATCTGTACATTTACTTTAATGACTTAAATATTAAACAAATTGGCAAAAGCAGTTAATTCATAAATAACAGGCTAGCTATAATATTTTTGTACTGTGTAGGAAGCCCACGTAACTCGAGTTAAGATCCCTCGGCCCGGCCCACTCGAAATTAACTCATTGCTGCCCCTTTCCTTAGATCTCAGCAGCTCCCTTCTGCTGCTGCCGCTGCCCTTCCATCCGAAAATTGCTCTATTCTCTTTGGTACGCCCACTTTGTCAGCGCTACGCCCACCCGGCCTTATATTTATTCCCCTTTTGTCTCTGCTTTTCCCATTTTCCAGGCCATTTTAGGTTTCCCTCTCTGAAGAAACACTACGGCCATAAAGATACAAGTAAAAATCAATTTCCAAAACAAGCAGGAAGAAAAGAAAGAGAGAGAAAAGGAATATCGAACGACAATAACATCAATTTTGAGGCATTTATATGCGCCAATAAATTTAACGAGAGAGCGCGAGAGGCAGGGAGGCAGAGAGAGCGATAGGATAGAGGAAAAGCAACAAATAACAGGCAGAAAGATACACGACAACGCGCAACAATAAGACACAAGATCAAACAAAACCAGCAGCCTCTGCCGCCCCAGCGATGCTGCGGCTGCAACGGCAACAGCAACACCAACAACACGGCGGCAGCAACAGGTACAAGCAGCGACGCTGACGCCAATGCAGGCGCAGGCGCAGCATTTCAAAATGTGCAGCAAGGCGATACATGTGCTGGTGTGTGTGCGAGTGAAAGAGGCAGAGGCAGCAACAACAACCTGTTACATCGACTGCTGCCTGAAATATGTAAAGTCAATTTCGTGTATCGGAAAACTGTAACTAATGCCAAAGCGTCAGGCAGCAGCAGCAACATTAACCCATTAACGCGATGAATGGAAAACAGATGCAATATGGGCCAAAGGATAGAGAATCGGTCGAATATAAAGCAAATATCTAAATAATTTCTAACCCTACTCAGTTAGTTGGGATAATGAAAACATCCATAAATTGTTCCAAATTGTACAGGAAAAGTGCTTTGCTAATTTGACATCCTTTCATAATAAACTATCTTTAACTCTTTATAAAGTAAACAAAAGTCTTTAAACCTTCTTCGGGACATATAAATAATTTCACTACTTTTTTTTGTTAAATTACCTCTAATATTGCTACAATATTACGTTTTAAGTTTAAAGCATGACAGCAACAACTACATACGTATTTATCTAGAGCTTCTTGGCCCGGCATCTTAAAGGGTTAAGATCTCTTTGCCCCGCGGCCAACTCGGGCCAAGTTCGTTGCACGCGGCGGAAAATAAAAGACAGCCAAGTAAGAAATTTTTGTCAATGAAAGAAAACTTTCTTTTGGGCTTATCCACGCCAACATCATCGCCGCCGGCCCTCTTTCTCCTGCTCACTCTTTTGGTGCCTTTCTTCCTCGCTGAGGTGATTTTGTTTTCTGTGTCGCCTTGTTTTTTATATACATTTTTTGTTGTTTAATTGGGCGGTTTTTAGATTTACGCGCCTGCTGCCATCTGCAGTATCAGGTTTTTTTTTCGGTTTCTTGAGTTTTTTTTTTTTTTACTTGAGGTGTTTGGGTCTCTTGGTATCTCCGCGGGCTCTTCATGGTCCATTAAGACAATTTAGGTTGGCTTCTCTTTTTGTTGTACCCAGAGGGAATGGGAAATGGGAGGGCCTGCTGCGTGGGAAGCCTTGTCTTTTTGTCATCCCGGGACTGCTGCCAGTTTGATTGCCTCCAAGCGAGTCATCCGGCCATCCAGCCATCGAGCGATCGAGTGTCCAAGTTGGCGCAACAAGTGTCCCAGTTTATGGCCCGGCTAGAAGCCAGCTACTCGCACTAGAACTAGTTTAAGTTTCCTGTCCCGGCAGCCATCGCTGGAATCTCCTCCATCTCCTCCGCATAGTCACATAGTTGCGCACAGTTGCGGTGAGAAAAGTAGGAGTGCAAATTTATTTTTAAATAAAGAACGCGCAGATATTTGTCCAAAGACTGCGCTGTCTATAGTAAAGAATTGGGTTGTATACAAATTTTTACTTGGAAAAAGAAAGTATAATAAGAAATAAGAACAAAATATACTCAAAATAATTTTGTTGAGTGACATTTTAGGTGCTATTATTTTCACCCTAATTGTTGCGGTGCACACGCTTTTCCTTTAGGCTCAGTTATGTTGACTGCTGCTGCTGCTGCCGTTGCCGCACCTTCCACGCCCCGGTGACCCCCCTTGGAGCGAACCTACTCCCCTGTTATTAACCGTTCGGCCACATTTTCTCACACAGAGAGCGCAAAAATGCTTGGCAGGCCACTCCGGCAATTGGCGCGCCTCTGGAAATGACAAACGGCCATGAGCATGTGGTTCAAAACCCATGGAGATGCCGAGGAAGCCAAAGGGGGCGTCTCGAGAGTGCAGCTTTTCTAAATTACTGAAATCTAAAAATATTCTAAGCATTCGCCGGGAAAATTGATTTGAAGTAACTGTAACAGAATGTAAAAAAAAACAAGTCTTTCTACTGGAGATGCTATAAATTCTTGAAATGATCGAAACGGGACCGGTTAAAAATTATGATAACTGATCTAGAACCAGCCTCATATCATGTTCAAGGCATGTAAATCAGATCAAATGATAAGATCACAAATAATGGGTAATTTCATCGATACTACTTTTCATACTTCGGAATTTCATATGTATTTCCAGCAGAGTTCAATTAAACTCAATTTTTTTTAACCAGAAACGATCTAACTGTTACCCAGTATCCTTGCATCTGTCTTGATCTATTTAAGTCAAGTTAATTGTAATCTTCTTTGCTTAAACCATTCAGATAGAGCCTTCATGGTTCACCGAACCAGCTCCTAATAACCAAATGATCCAATTCGACATACATGTCGATGGAATGTAAATGTGATCCACTGATTGGAACTGTCATTAGATCATCAATGCTCAAATTGGATCTGGCGTTTTTCCGTTCAGATTTGAGGAGTGCTCCAATTCAAGTTCATTAGCCAGAGGCCTTACCTCCTCCTTAACTTTCCATTCGCTCTGCTTCTGGCCGAAACTGGCTGACGACCAACGTTCTCCTGTCGGCCCAAAACAGCCTCACGTAACTGTAACTGATTTGACCTCCCATCACTTAGCTACCAAAAAAAAAACCTCCTCCAAAAGCATCGTTTCTTTTTTATATTCCTCTTTTTTTTTTTTTTTTTGCTGTTTCTGCTGCCGTTCTGCCATTGTGAATGGTTATGTTTATGGTGCCGGGTGGTCTGACGAGGGGCTTCGGGGCAGGGAGCTGGCAGTGCGACCTCGACAACAAATTTCTATTGCATGCAATTTGGAGAATATCGCATGCACAAATGAACATTAACACTTGGCGGCCGCTGAAGAGATGAACAATAAAAAATAAAAACGAAAAAACTTGTTTGGACAACAAAAACCAATGACAGAAAAATATTGTAAAATAAGTGTTGTTTTGTAAGTAACCGATTTGTTTATATACTATAAAAAAAGGATAAACTAGTATCTACATTCGAGCTTAATTTATTTTTATATAAGCACAAAGTGTGCTGTTATGCGATATCAGGGGGAAAAATGTGCAAATTTGATTTTTCCTAGCTTATAAAATGACAATTTTTAATTCCGAATAAAATTTGTAAGACTATTTTATCAAAAGGTTTAGCTAATGCCTCAGTAAAGTTTATCCTAACCCCCATATGGTTAGGGTATATAACATCAACAAACGGCAGCCAGGGAGCCTCTGAGCAACGAGGGAAAAAGTGCGCCTAGAAATTAGAAAGTACGCGCGCGGTCTTGAGGAGAGGCTGAATCCGAAGTTGAGGCCGAAGCCGAAGCTGAGGCCAAAGCTAAAGCTAAAGCTGCAGCCGACTCTGAAGCTGAGGTTGAAGCTAAAGCCGAGGCGGTAGGTATGTGAGTATAACTCGATTTGTGACTGTCATAAATGGCGGAAATTGTGGGGCTCGAGACAAAGCGGGCTTGGGGACCCAGGCTTTCTGGCTAGCTTTCTGCTTTCTACTACTACTACTACTACTGCCGGTCTTCAGCTGCGGCTTTTTCCAGCTCCAACTTCAGCTCCGTCTCCGTTTTTCTTTCTTGCTTGACTATAATTTGTGCCATCAGCATTTTGTTGTCGTTATCGTTAGCAAAGCGAGAGACCAGAAGACTGAAAGACTCGGCGGAGACTCTCGAAGAGAAGACAGGCGACGGCAATGAAGCGTGAGTTTTGACATTTCTCCTTCTTTGTAGCCACTCTCTTTTGGCATGCTCTCCATAATTACCCGAGCGGAGAACGCAACAAAATAACGCCGCGTTTCTGCCATAATTTGGTCCGATTTTTATTAATTCCCACCTTGCGTCGCCGCCCTCCTCCCCCTTTTTATGACTTATTCAATTCGCCGCCGCCACAGAACCCGCACTGAAAGTGGCAACATCGAGCGGGCGGAGAACCGGCTCCACAGTTTGCCTCGATCTGCGTTTATTATTACACTTAATGTGACTTGATTTATAAACAAGAGCAGCGGCAACAACGCAGCAGCATCCATCGAAAGGCCAAAACCCCCACCTCTCCGACTCACCTTCAGCCCGCTCCAGCCTCTTGTCCAGCTGTTGTTGCGAAGACAGCGTCCGACATGCCTCAGTGACCAAAAGATATACACACTGGCAGAAATACTATGGCTATAGATCTTAGTTCTCGGTCTTTATAACAGAATTGTAACTCAAGCTTTTATTTACAAGCTAAGTAAATGAAAGCACCTCTTTTACAGTGTACATCCAATGTTCGTATTGGGTTACAGATACTCCCCATCCCCCACA